CAATATATTTTAAATGAATGGTTATTTATAAAAACAGCTGACAATGAAGAAGGTTTTGTACCATATATCTGTTGTCGTCCAATATTTCGTCGTCAATCAATAAAATCTTTAAATAATATTGAATATTCTTATAAACTTCATGATTTTGAATTACAAAAATCAGAACAAATCAAATCTCCATTAACAAATCTTCCAATATTAACACCACCATCAAATAAAAAATTTTCTTTATCAACAAATCATCATTCACCATCATATTTATTTCAAAAATCTTCATCATATAGACGACGTCAAGATCTAACATCATCGTCATGTGGTGGCGATTCGGGTGTTTCTGATTGTGAATCATCAACAAATAATCATAATTGTTTAGATTTATCAACTAAACATACAACAAATTTATCAAATTTACAATCAACACATTCATCTTCAAATGCATTCAAAAAAACTGGTCTTGTTGTACAAGATCTTCCATTGAAAAAATCGTCTAAAACTAATCAAAATAAATCTCAATTATTAATATCAAGTAATAGTGCATTTACACAAATTGTAAAAAAAAATCAACAACAGGAAAGGTAAAGAAAAAAATTAAAGCGAAAAATTGCACAACCTTAATTGTAAAATAGTATAATGAGTAGAACAAAATCGAATCAATATTGAGCAATCAAATTTGATTTGTGTTTACCTCGTATCTAATCTATTTTAGATTTCATAGATAATTTATATTTAATAAAAAGAAAAAACTTGCCCTAACTGATCGCTCTTTTTTTAATTTCAAATTATTCGAAATACAGGTTCACTAGAATTCAAATGAGCAATATGAGACTAAAATTCAATAAAATTTATTCATATGAATTATTAACAATATTTTATTATTTTTGTTTTCTTCCAGCAATGAATGTCAAGCATTTCCTTATGAACACAATACATTATCATCTTTTAAAAATAATTCTCATCGTCTTTATGAGAGTTATGATGAAACAACAAAATATCATATTGATAATAATAATATTGTTTCATCACCATATATACGTCGAACACCATATACTCGACGTTCTTTACCATATCATACACAATCTGCATTAAAAAAACCATTATGTACAAAAACATCATTTTCACCGGATCCATTTAAAAAAACTCAAGAACAACGTTTAAGAAATATTGTTCTTGCTGAACCATCATTACCACCAACTATGATTACAAAAAAATCAACAATTGAAAGACATTTTTCCGATTTAAGTCTTAATCAAATTGAAAAAGATTCACTTTCACCATCAACACCTGTTTTATCAATTCATAATCGACCATCTTTGTCTTGTTCATCGTCATCATCATCATCAAGTACAACAAGTTCATCAACTGATGATAGTACAACAGCATTTATTCATATACAAATGAATAATCATCGAGCTGGACGAATACCAGTTATATATGCTTCATCAAATATTACTGCTAATGCGATGACTAATAATAATAATAATAATAATAATAACAGTGATATTCAAACAAAAAAATCGACTAGTTTTATTCACAACGTTTCGATTACTGTCTAATTGTTACTCAGTATTTCTTTGTTTGCTATTAAAAATGAATGATGAATTATATATATATATAAATCAACTTTCTTTTTTTTTTCAATTGATATGGATGTATTTAAGACAATGCTTTCACATGCAGATAATACCAAAATTATAGGAAATCTCTATAGAAAAAATAAAAAGTAAATGATTTTATTCTAAGAATAATAGGTAGATCCAAAATTTCCGGATCTAAATCCAGTATGAATCTAATAGACTCTAGGAAGCACTTTCACTCGATGCAACTTGTCGTTGCCTAACTCTTATGCTATGGTAGTGCATATATACAACTAAGAACATATTAAAGTAGTGCCCTTATCTCATCGCTTGGTCTCCTAATTATAAAACATTTTTTTTTATGCCGCTGAAATAGTTTCAACGTTTAATTCTTATAGTTTATTGTAACTCTAATTGAGACTTGATTTGTTCAATCTCGATAAAATTCAAAATTATTCAACTTAAAAAAATTTAAAGATATAATAATCATATCATGGATATAATTCTTATCAGTACCATTGTCAAGGCAAATATTTTCAAAAGATAAATCATTAATTATCCAAAATCATTTTAAACTAAGTAACATCAAGAACAAATCTTGGAATAAACATATGTTAATTAAAGTTGAAATAACCTCGTAAAAGAGTCAATTTGATAATACTGAATACTTATACTATTTTTGGAATACTTTGACTTCTAAGCATAGATTTTATATGTAAACTGAAACTACTAGTATTATTAGAAAGATCATATCGAGTTGCACCTTATAAGAAAAAAACTTATGATAAGCCAATAGTTTGTGGAAAAGTTCAATAATGTATCACTAAATTCATGGATCTTAATAATGAGATGAATTCTAGCGTATTATAGAGAGGGTGTTCTTGTCATATACATCGAGATCATAAAATTAAAGTGATTGAAGTCCAACATATGTGTATAACTGCATTTCAATGAATAGAAGCTAAATGATGTTTGAGACAACTATCTTTGTTATATTTGTGCGATTTTTCTTTGAATACGCTTTTAGAATCATTCATTCGATCAATAAGTTCAATAAAATTATTGAATTTCTTCGAAAAGAATGCTTATCTTAGTTGCTGTATCTGAGAGATGCAGCTCGATATAGACTTTCTAATGATGCTATTAGTTTCAGTTTACGTGTAGAATCTATATTTAGAATTTAAAAATATTCCAAGAATAATGCGTATCAGTGTTCAGTAGTATTATCAAATCGACTCGTTTTCAATGTTACTTCGATGTTAATTTAAATGTATTTATTTCGATATTTATCATCGATTTTCTCTATTTAAAATGATTTTGAGTTTTCTATAAAAATATTTGTATAGACAGGAGTATTGAAAGTATCTTTATCGTAAACATTGCCTTAAATCTTCAAATTTTTAAGTATAATAATTTTTAAGTTCTATCAAGATTGAATAAGTGTCAATAAGAATTACAATAAAGTGTAACAGTTCAAGGTTGAGAATAATTTCAACTGTATGAAATAAATGCATGAGATAAGAATATCAATTAACCTGCTCATAGTTGCATATATGTTTTGTTATAGAACGTTGATATGTTGGTATCTATGAATTTAAAAGTAATTTTAACAGAGTTATATTCAAACACTAAATATAAAACAAATCTTTTTAAACGTACAACATCAAGATAATATTTTTTTCGAATATCTGATATTTATCTCCATTTACTCTAATGATTTATCGTTTGAATATAAAGAAGACTCTTTGCACTTGATTGTTACATATCTATGCTTTTAAAAATTATCTATCAATGTATGCACATTCAAAAGTCAATTATCCTTATCATCTTATTGAAAAATAAATAATGATAGTTCATATGATGAACTACTTCAATGTTCACAAATACTTCTTACTTATGATATTCGATGCAATATATGAGCAAAGACAAAAAAAAACATTCTTCTTATGTAAACATTTATATTAATGTATGAATATTTGATTTTATGTTTAAAAGAAATTCATAGAATTTATACTATATAGGGAAAAAATTTATCGGTCATGCAAATTAATACAGTAAGAAGAAAATTAAGCACAATAGACTGTGAATAAATATAACAAGAGAACAAATTAGAAAATCATTATGATGATCAGTCAGTCAAGCGGATATTGTTTCCTTCAGAATGATTATACAGCCATCGGGAGTTTGTTAAGATGATCATGATGAAAAACAGAATTACATTATATGTCTATAATGAAAGAAAAGAAAATGCCGTTTACTTCTCTCAATCTTTTATTTGTCAGTGCTCAAAGGTCGTCGACAATAACAAAATTACCTATAAGAACTGAACAATCCGTTGTTTTAGTTACGAATATTTTATCTCTTACTTTTCTCTTTCTCTACTTGATTGGCATCGCGTGCATGATTGAATAGTATTTTCAATGTGTATTATTTTATCGTTTCTAATGCTTCTCATCATATAAGATGAACTAAATTCAATAGAATTAGAATTGAAAATGAAAAGGTTGAAATGACAATAAGAAAGATAATTCTGTTCTTTTCTTATATTTCATGAGAAAGAGAATCAAATCATTATATATAGTACAGGTTCAATTAATAGATATATACATACATTTTTTTTCTCAAGATTATTTGGTTACTTATCATTTTAAAATGTATAGCTTTTCGAGAAGCAAAGTTTTCTTTTTAATGATTCTAGATTAATGATTGATTCGTATGGTATAATCAAAACAAAATTCATTCCACGCATGTTTGCTTATATTTAATTGACCGTTTTCAATCATTATCACCTAAGCTTATCATCAAACATCAATAAAACAGAATGTAGTATGATATAAAGAAAAAAAAAAGGAAATGAAATCGAGAACAATAGTAAGTGAGCATTTTATACATGTTCATCATTGAACTTATGAGTCATATGTAACACACTTTACTTTGAAATCGATAACGGAGACAAATAGACATCGCGAAACATTGACCACTTATTGTTTTTCGTTTCTCTTTCACCATGACACTTTGAATAGTGCAGTACACATACTAATGAATATTAATCTCTCATGCAGTTAGTTTATTCAGATACGCCTGTGTGATCAAGCTTTTCAATGGTTGTCATTAAGTACAATGACAAGATAGATCATATCACTCATGATTGTCCTTCGATGTAAACTTTGATTTATGACCATTGTAAGTCTAAAAGTACGAAAGAACACATTTTAATCTAATGTAAACTGACTTATTAATTATCATTTGTCTCATATGCCTTGTTCTTTTTTGAATAAGTCGATCGATATTTAAAACAAAAAAATAATGTAACTGATATTAATAGTTTTATTCTTTGTTTTGTTTTCTTTTTTAGTAATTAATTCTATTTAGACGATTAATTTAAATGTGTGGTTTTACTTAAAGAAAATTTTCATTATTGATCTCATGAATGTTCTACATTATTCATTAAGTTTAAGTGCTTGTCCAAAATGTCATTTATTTATTTGCAAACATACAAGTCTAGCCGATTTTGATTTGAATTTCGCTGAACAACAACAATCAATTACTGAATGCAACAATACTCAAGTTTCTTTAGAAAATAAACTTGAAAAATCTCATCAACAATGTTTATTACATGGTACAAATTTTTATATAATTCCATCAGCAAAAAATGATAGTAATCGTCATAGTTGGACAACATTTGGTACAGATTCTATTGAAAGTACCAATACCTTTCATAATTTATCATCCAATAATGAAACAATACGTGAAAATATTTCATTTGCAAATGAAAATATAATTAATTCATTATTACCATCGACAATAAATCAAAATGCTTCGACACAATCGGAAAAATTTGAGAAAAAATTTCAAAAATCAATTTATTTAACTAAAAGTTTTTCATTTTCAACTTTGTGTAATAAATCATCATCATTAGTTTCTTCTATAAAACATAATAATCATTTATTAACGAAATCATATTCATATTCAAATAGATCTCTTCTAATTATTCTTATTCTTATTTTATCATTTCTTATTACAAATACGATTGATATTGTTCTTTTTTATGTGTATTTTCATACTAATTATATACATTTAATTAGTTTCATTAGTATATTCATTTTATGTGATATGATCTTATGGATAAATAATTTAATTCGATTAAATACTATACCATCTTGTTTATTATTGATACCATTTAGTATACGTCCTTATTTATTGTATGAACTTGTTGAATTGTTGACAATCATATTTGATAAAAATTTTAATAGACAAATATTAAATTCATCATTATCATCGTCATCATCCTCAACAACAACAGCATTTGAAACAAATGCATCTCGTAAAACAGATTTATCTATGATACATTATTTATCATTCTATAAAATAAAAAAACAAAGATTATTTCATTATTTAACATTATTCTATGTGGTTCATACAGGACTTTTAACTTTTATTAATGTTTATTTTTGGTCAAATAATTTTCAACAACCAACAACATCTCTATTAAATATAAATTATTTTATTCCTCAATGGATATCACATAATGATTATTTATTATCAACGTCAACGATCAATACGGTTCCTAGATATCCTTCAATTGCGTAAGTAAAGAAAACAAAATAGATTTAGCATGACTGTATCTTTCAATAGTATTTGTGAAATACCTAATTTTTTGTCATTACAGCAATTTTTGTATCTGATCATACCGACATAGACAAATCCTAAGTTATACTTCATATTTAACTCATTTTTCCTTTGCAGCAGATCGACTTAAAATTTCAAGAAAGTGAGCATCTATTTTCAGAGAAATATTCTAATCGTTAGAGAGATGCTACAGTCAGAAATTTTCATTGAAAATAATATATTAGTTAAACTCTAAGTGTCCATCAGTAAAAATAAAACTAATTTACAATTTTTTTTTTTTTAAATGGTTAAAGGTTTTTGTCTTTTTTCTAGTCGCTGGCAAATATCTGATAACGAACATAAGCATTTAGCTCGGCGAACAATGTCGTCGAATTGGACTCAATTCTTATTTTTTTCATTTAATCCAGTCTCTATTCATCTTCGTCCTGCATCAGTATTTGTTTTAATTAGTATTTTATATTATTTAATAATAAATTATTCTCTTCTATCAACATTTCTTATCCTTGAAAGATTTTCATTTAATGTTATCTTATCAATTTTATCAAGATTATGCTTAATTATTACACGTATTTATACGTTTATCTTTCTTTTCCATTTTGATAACTGGTGGTTATCAATGACTTTTTTTATTATACACTTAACTTTAATCATAACTCGTCTGTTTCATAGATCAAAATTTCAACATCAACAAAATACAATGTTTCTACAAATAATATTTTCTTTAATAACACATTATTCGATTGATGATATATCAATTAATGCATTGATATCATTGGAAAATCTATGCATATTTCTATATCGTCTTTATCTTGAAACATTTTCTTTTAGTCATAATGAAACAACATTAAGTTTAATTATTTTCATTTCAATACTTATGTCATTACAAATTATTGGTTTTATATTTGATATTCTATCAAAAAGTATTTTTTATCAAACGAAAGCAATAACAATATAATAACAATAAAACAATATGATCATAGGAAGTTTTGTTAATTTATTTAAATAAATTAAATAAGTTAATGTAGCTAATATAATAGTCAAAATAAAATATATTCAATGATAATTTATACAAAACAAAAATTCATTAGAATAAATATTATCGTTGACTCAAAAGCCTCTGTTCTTTTTGCTTCTTGTTTATTAAAAATAAATTCTTTTTTCATTGTTCACCTGCAATGTGGAGTATTGATCGTTTTTTTAGTGTTTCACTTGAGTAATTTATATTAACTAGTACAGGATGAATTTACTCATTATTGTGACGGGGACAAATAACAATTTATAGTGTACCTTTAAAAAAATGAAACTTATCAAATCATAAGTAAAACAAGTTTATTTGGAGCACAGAATTGGAAACAAAATAAATTTTTTTAACCAACGTCTATATAATTCGATTGTATGCTTATTTTCATCATCTACAGTTAATTTTGCAGATTGAAGATATGTTCACAGTAAGTTTTAGTTAAAGTTTTTAAATTGATAATGATATTATCCATCAGCGACATCATTTTTTTATTCAAAATAAACAGACAACCGATCGTTTCGTTTTACTTCATTGAAAAAAATATTCAAATATCAAATATTCGGGTATTAACATTTTTTAAGCAGAACACAAAATTTTAATTATAAAAAAAATAATTAAAGACGTATATGTAGCTTTCTTATAACGAAATTTTAATTTTTGTTCCATAATTTATTCTTAAATAACTCGAATAATGCGGCATTTAAATGTCAATTCTTAATACATGAATGCTACAATCGACGAACAATATGACTATAACTATAATTAATGCTGTGACATATATTTGTTGATTACATTCGTTAGAATAAATCACATGACATTTTTACCGTTTATATCTATAGTTGCACTATACTATTTGATTTATGTAAATGTTATTTCATGTCTGATAGATTATGAGAAGCTTGTTTAATTCATTGTAAAAATTGTTTTTAAAGTATTTTCAATCTTAATATTTTGTATAGAAAATGAATAATTATAATACAAATTCACGTGCGATTCTATTAATGACAGGATTTTAATAGTGTTTCATATAAAATTATTCAATATGTATAAAGACAATATGTATTGTTATTTGATGGATATTTTAATACACTAGTTGAGTTATGTTGTTTAGAAAGATTCTGAGTTCAATTTAAGCAAAATAAATTGTTGGAATGTCTTCAATTCTTAAAACTCAAATTAGTGTACAAATCAAATTTACAAATAGAACAAGAATGTTGATCGACTTCTGTCTAAATCAATTATTTTTTGAATATAAATAGAATATACTCTTTTTATAAACGTTAGTCATTGTCAGCTTCGTTAAAAATATCACTACTCTTTTCATACATCATAAACTACTTTTCTTCGATTTTTGCCATTGTTTTTCTCTCTTGCCATAAAGTCAATATGAATACTGTTAATATCGAATAATGGTTTTTTTATACTCACACTAAAAACAGTAAATTTGCTTTTAAATAAATCTCTTACAGCCGTGTTTGAATATACATAGATGTACAACATATACACATTTACCCTTAAAATTTAATGGATATTTATTTGCTTCAAAAAAATTGTCAAATGACTTCCTTTTTTAGCTTGCTTCAGCAATAACTAAAAGAAACAAATTAAATGAGGAAAATCTCATGTTATTATAAACAATAAAATCTAAATCAATTCGTTGTAAAATAGATAATTGTCAATTCTTTACATTCAACACAGAATATTTCTGCTTGTTGTCGCTATTTGTATTGAACTGTCTTGGCAAGATCTTAAGTTAGAACTTAATTATTCTAAGACTGCTTATCGTAATACGACAAAACAATCAGTTTAAAATAGCTGAAGTTGTTTATTATCATTAATGATATATAATTAGATATTGTGTATTATGAGAATGAGGACGTACATTGATACATCACTTCTACTAAGATTAAATTTAATAGAAGGAATATAATGCTTTTTGAGCTAGATAGAAGCAATAGCGAATGAAAAAAAATTACATACGGTGAGATCTTCTTTCAAGAACAGTGATGAAATTTAGAAAATCAAATTTTATCAGTCTCAATAAGATTTCATTAGACTTTTGTAAAATATAGCTTATGTGAAAGCAATCGTAACATTTTCTGTTTTAAATACATACCTCCCTCTCCACAGGTGTCTTGGATATAACCGCATGATCGAAGCCTACTGAAGGATTAGTATGATAGTTGTGCTTTACTTTTCTTTGATACTGCAATATATTACGATAAATATCTTACATAAACAGTAGGCAGAAATTCAGAAACCGAAACAATATATTGATGAATTCCTTCTTTTGCAATATCAACAATTCTATTGTGTTTCATATTTTAATTCCGCAAGGACTCTGCACTAATAGCTTGTGTTTCTTTTAATCAAAAACTAGAGATGAATGATTTTATTCGTACAGTTTAAATTTATCTGAGAACTTAATTTATGCAAGATTTCAATGATTGAAGTTCTATATATTTACAAATGCAACAAAAAGTGATCAACAAAGTAAAGACTAAGTCTTTTGAAAGTCTGTATCTATTGATAAATGCGTTCAAGATAATATCAGCATATATTTATAATCTTTCACAATTATAAATAACATACAGACAGATAATAAAATTGTTAAACATGTGATAGGGTTATTCTAAGAATAATTCATCTTTGACAAATCAAACTTCATTTTTCAGAGATACTTTAAATTATATACTTCGTATTATATAAATACGTTCAAATTGAAGAAAGAAAGTAAATCGCTTAATTTGGTTTACATTGTATTGAACTTATAAGTTCAAAAAACAAAAACAAAAATAAGATCGGTGATAGGTCTTTGAATTAAATGAATAATCGAATTATTAAGAAAATTTTATGAAATCTAATAATCAGCAGTAAGTTTAATTCGTTTATTTCCAATTCTGACTAATTTAAATTGATTATTATTTTGTACGAACCATACTTTTGTTAAAACAGCGCCTACAAAGTATGATGCATCTGCTTTCTTTTCTTTCAACTATTCGGTAACTATATTCGAGAATGAACTACTCCTATAGAAGAATTTAGCAGTTAATAAATGTTGAAGTTTTTCGAGACAAATATTGACTTCCTTCAAATTTTTGATTGAAGCTGCCAAATGTTTAACATGTGATAGTGTCATTGAACAAATGTCCTGTGCAGTCAACTTTGACCGTCTACTATTATGGTTACAGCATATGTTTAATAAAGTAAGACTGCATGTTTGTTCAAGTAAACTGCCAAGATCCTTCATTATATTTGGATTAGCCTGAAAAATTCTGATCCCGGTTAATTTGATTTGAGTTACTGCTGTTAGATCGACAAGTGTTAAAACGAATCAAGTCCAATTCGGTATTCGTTGGGTATAGTAATCAAGTTCGAGGCTTGTCACTCGGCGAAACAATGGATTGCTCGAACTTTGCGGCTGTAAAAGAAAAAAGAAGATACGAAAAATTTACAGTTAGATAAAAAGTTGACTTCACTATGATAAAATTGAATGAGCCATAGAGTAGCAATGTTCAGTTAGCATGTAACGAAAAGTTTGTGCCATGGAGCATTCATACAAGAGAAAATTAAAAAAATATTTATGAAAAATCTATAAATTTTCACTTAATTCTAAATAGTTGATCCGAAATGGACGCATGATAGATTATGAGATCATTCTAGTTTTTTTGGAAAAAATTCCGAATATTGAAAGAAAAAACTTTGTCACAAAATCTCGAAATCTTCAAAATGGATTTAGTAACATTGTTTATCAGTGTGGATACTCGGTAAGGAGACTTTTTATTAATAATATTAAGAAAAATATTCAAGTAAAACCAGTGAGATCATCAATGACTATAAGTAAGATACGTAGCGTATTACATGGCTTACGAGAGAAATCCTCGAATTGGTACATCCGTTTTGAGCCATAATATATATATATATATAATATTTTTATCGTATTTTTTAAATGCAATGCTCTGATTTCCGTCAGGAACTCTGAAAAAGCTGATTTTTTGAATATTGATTTGAAATTTTGTGTAGAGGCAAGTCTAGATGAGAAATGTTTATTGCGGAGCTCTCAGATATTTTCATTGCTTTTATCTGAAGATATCGGCATGGTAAAAGTACGTGTTTTCTATCACTCATACACAGTCGCAGATTTGATGTTTTTATTTCATGACAGAAACAAGTCAAGTGGCTTGATACTTTCGCAGCTATCTAGTCTTGCTAAAGCTTGTTTTGATACAAAGCTTCAAGTCGAAAGTCGAAAATCAATTTTTCTGGTATTCCTGATGGAGGACACGACATTGTATTAAACAATACGTTAAAAATGCAAAACGCCGACAATAATAAGCTATGAACTCTAGTTCTTTTTGTAATATTCTTAACTCATTAGGGTCTACAGGATGCATATGCTTTTGACTGAAAAGCAATTACTCAGTTGAAAGGAATATTGGCATAAGATTTCATGCAAGGATTATGGAAAGAATGACTTTTTGATGTATATATTAGCCCTCCATATACATGACTCTGCAACTGAATCTAGTTTTTCACTATTTCTTTGATCCATAAGATATTGAAAAGCGTTCAATAAAAGTAATGAAGTGTTATGCGAGATTTGTCACAAAATAATAGACTATATTACATAACTCTGATAAAGAACTTTATAAGAAAAGTAGTAAATCTAAGAGAATTCATCACAAGAACCAATTTTTCAAGTATTTAATCATGTATTGAACAGGCCAAAGCATTTTTTCTATATGAGTTGAGCGAAGTTCAACATTCAAATGATGAAGATTTGTTTGTGAAATAATAGATGATAGAAGGTTACTGTTGTATTTGTACGACGATCATCATATTTCCCAAGTTTGAATGAAAATGAAGTTAATGGAGGAATAAAGAAGCGTTTTGAAAGAACTTTTACTTGACTTTCTTCAATACCAATCAAATTTAAGGAGCGAAGATGATTAAATTGTCGAATGCGAAAATACGTCGTAAATAATTCATGTTGATCTGATGTTTCATCTTTAGTAAAAAGTATTCACGATCTAATTTTTTGAACATAGATCAAACGATCAAATCAACTAAATAGCATCATATATCACCAAAAGTACGGAAAACCTAGTTACTTTGTGTGAAATTGATATCTGGAGAAAAGACCATTCTTTTCTCAGAAATTTATAGAAGTCTTAAATAGATCTAAGAGTTGTCTATGGAAAAAGCCATAAAACTTTCATTAGATTTCTATCATTAGAATCGGTACTTTATACAAGATTAGATTGAGGGATATATTATTTGTTTCTTTGATTCTATTACTAGTAAACAACAAGAATATGTCGATTATTAGAATTACTCAAATAATAGCCCAATTTTTGAGTCTATTATACTGAATTTTGTAGAATTATTTCTGTTAAATTAAACTGTCTAAAAAAAAGAACAATATTTTTAATTGAATAGACTTGTTTTTTTTTTTAAATCAATTTCATGATAACACAATAGAGTGAACATAAAATAATTTGATTCAAATAGAATTAAAACAGTACCAAATCAATCGATTTCCAATTAGACAAATTCGCATAGAATCAATTTTTTTTTGATTTTTGTTTATAGGCACTAGACAAATTCTTTTATTCTGCCCTGTGACGATCTCTGGTAAATCGAGCTCACCGATCTGGTTGTACGAACATCCACTATCATCCAAAATGGTTGAAATATAAGAGTAACTCCCAATTCATACTGTTTTTTGCAACTTACGATTAACCATATTTTGTGACAGTGAGTAGGTCTACTCGATTTAAGTACATACCGAAAACATTAGGCTTTTATATACTTGTCTGGGAAGAATAGTAGATATATACTTTTCAATTTGAAGCCTTATATTTGAATTTCGTATATTAATCAGTCGATGTAATAAACCACGACCAAATCAGTTCAATCGCAGTCACCAGAATCTTCATGATAAAAGATATTTTTTTTTAGGAAAAAGTTTGATGAATTTTGACGGAAGTTGTTTGAAAAATATTGAACCATCGACTTTTTATGAATACTTGACGAACAGCCCTAGAAGCTC